TGCCAAATAATTGAACTTGAATCTGATCAAGCCTCTGTATCTACCAGGTTAGAGGAAATACAAGGGTAGACTAAGAAGTAAAATGACACTACTGGGACGCAGTCAGCAAAATTCTGAATGTGGGAAACTTTTTTAGACACATTAGCTCATTTCTTCAATAAGATAGAAAAAATAAAAAGAAGAAAGGGGAAACTGTAAATTATAAAAGACTTCAGAGACATAAAAGAAATTATAAAACACTTGGTGAAATGTTGAATGCTGATCAAGTGTTTTATGGCATTAGGAATTACTTATTTTTTAGTTGTGATGATAATCATTATTGTTATTTGCTTTAAAAAAGAATTTTTGTCTTTTAGAGATGAAATAGTTATCCCAGGGTGGGGATAATGATCAAACAATATTGGCCATAAATTGGTAATTGTCCAGTGGTGATAGATTAATGAGGATTCAAGCTACTCTTCTTCACTTTTGTAAATATTTGAAATGATCTAGAAACAATTTTTTAAACAAAATGATAGAACTAGGTAATCTCCAAGACATTTTCAATGTCAAATAGACTGCAATTTCTTGTATTCAAGGTCATTAAGCCTAATATACCCTTCCTAACAGTCCTCTAGCTACTAAATTTGTTAGGTTTATTTACGTATCCTCATTGAAGCATCTTTTCTAGAGAAAACCCCCAACAGATCCTTAGTAACTTTGTATTTCTGCAACCAAGACTCCACCCTCTTGTGATGCACTCTGTTTCTTACCTGCCATATATACTTAGTTGTCAGCTCCTGTTCACACCACTGCCATTTTTCCTTTGGAATCCGACCTTCTCCCTTCTTTCTTACCACTTCTGCCTTTGTTCAAGTTCCCGTTACTACCTGCTGGGTTACAGTAGTGATATTCTAACCCTGGGCACATTTCTTATTCCCCCTTGTCATTAATTATATGACCACAGGATTTGGAACCAAACATTGGGGTGAAGACTTGGAGTTCTCTTTAGGTAGCTTTTATTTTTTAATTTTCAGAATTTTTCAAATTTTATTTTATTGTGGAATACTTAACATGCCTTCTAGTCTCTTAAATTTTTAAGTGTACAAATTTAGTAATGTTATGTTTAGGCAGCTGGTATGCAACAGGTCTCTTGCACGTATTCATTTTGTGTAATGGAAACTTTATGTCTATTGACTAACAACTTCCTATTTAACTCTCCTCCAACCCCTATTTCACTCTCTGATTCTATGAGTTTGACTATTTTAAGTATCTCATGTAAGTGAATTATGCCATACTTGTTC